TTGTAAGTAAATGAGATAGAGTCGGGTAACTTAAAAAATAATAAATAATTGGAGTTGATGAAAACTCCCGAGTCTTAATAATTGTGGGTATACCTCGTTCTGTTTAGCTGCATTTTGGAGGTTTGAATTAAATCAACAGAAATGTTAGATGCTCCATTTGAAACATCAAACATTCACCACCTTTTCAAACATACTAAAGCCACCACATGGGTCCTTTACGAAATCATAGCAAACTCCATGTGCAGGCCCTCATGATGCAAAACCAGGGCTTTTTGCTCATGCAAACAACTCTGTGTGTCTGCTAATCCAGGCAGAGTTAGACTGCTGTCAGAGCGTGTCACTATCTGACAGTTTGCTCCTTAAGTGCGCATAATGAGGAAAACAAGTCGACTTGCTGAATAATTTGTGTTCTCTCTGCTCTCTGGTTGGTCACAAACCTTCGAGTTTGGAATGTTCTGCTTCGAGATTAACTCAGGCAATTAAGTTTACATCCAGCAGAGAGGGCTGCCCAGCAATAGAGTCTTCGCTCCCGGAAGACAGAGAGTTGGATCTGACTTGCATTTTCAGAAATGTGACATTTTCATTTTTATTTAGCTTTTTTTTTTTTTTTTTTTTTGTGACGAAGCAACACCTGGAACTAAAAAAGTCTAACAAATCAAGCATTGTGATTATGAACTTTTCTCTAGACACTATGAAAAATGAGTTTGAAAAGGTAGAAGAGTCAAGAGTCTGTGAAATATGCGACACATCTGCTGTTTAATAAAGTGTACAAATATCAGACTATATTAAAGAGTAACAAATTAAAATAACCAGTGGAAATAACTTAAGTTTGAACTTCATTGCAAATGTATTTTCTTAGTTTTCTATTTTTAAGAAATTTCCAAAAATCTCAAAAACCTTTCTCACACATTGTCGTAGTAAAGTAATTTGTGTGTAGAATTCTGAGGAAAGAGATTCATTTAATTCAGTTTGTAATGAACATCAATTATATTTTTTTAATCTTTTTCTTCTTACAACTTTTCCATAAAGTTGCAAGATTTTCACCATAATTGTAATGGATAAGGATAATAAGTAATGACTTATTGTTATCCTGATGACTAATTTTCCCACCCGAGCTGTTGATCTTGGCAGCTCCTCCTTACCGTTGGCATATTGGCTCTTTCCCCATCTAGGTGGGTTCAGAGAACAAAACCTGAGTTTTTCAATGCTTAGGCTGTTGTTTCATAACCTGACCCTGATGTATACCTTTTTAAATAATTTCCACATATTACCCTGTCATTATATGATAATGAGTTTTTAATTGGCTTCCACAGACATGAACTATGCTGTTAGGGAAGACCTGTCCGGTTCAGGGAAACCCTTTTGGTTTATTACCTTTGATGCAATGTACTGAAGGCTTGATTACAAACTGTCAACTACATTTCTTACTAAAGTTTAACAGTCTATGCTTGCTCTCTCTCTCTCTGGCCCATCTGCTCCCGTCTCTCCGCCCCTGATCCTCCCATTCCTCTTTCCGTCTCACTCTATCATCTCTCTCGCTCGCCTCTTCGGGGACGAGCAATGACAGGCTTGCGTGGTCTAATTGGATGATGTATTATGTTATTAGGTGAGATGAAAAAGAACATAACTCAAAGGTTATTAATTCAAAAAAAAGAAGAAAAAAAATAACACCAGTCTGACCAAGGCAGTGAAAAAATTAGGGACAATGCTTTTTTTTTTTTTTTTTTTCGACATGCACCTTCGAAAGAGAGATGATGTGTGGGAGCTGCGAGAAAAAAACAATGAGAGTAGGTCACACTTTCACTGATGTTTCAACCCTGGCACAGTTCCTCTGAGAAATAGTGCTACAGATCCCATCATTTCCTCCCCTGCCACTCTTCTCCACTCTTCCTCCCTGTGCTAATCCAAGGAAGACTGGTAGATTGAGCAGTGCCCTGTAGGTATTTCTCCTGGGAGTGTGTGTGAAGGCATGGGAGGAGTTTAATCGAGAGGAAACTCCTGGATGACTCACTGCAGTGTCCTAAACCTCCCCTCCATGTTTACACTTCCTTGTTAAAGCCGCAGTAAAGATGACTTGTCACTTCATTTGCCGGACTAAATGAAATTGTGCGGAGCCATGTCAGAGGTCCTGAAGGATTCTTGCAGATGATGTTTATGTCTTCATGCTGCAGAGCTGGAACCTCTTTACCCTTCAGAAGCAAACTTCCTGTATCATGTCTTTTTTTGGTCTTATTTGTTTCTCAGAAATCAGACAAACTTTGTTGTGTTACCTCAGCAGCGATAGGCCAAGTTAAATCCAGTTTCTGGGGGGGAAAAAAACACTTGCATTGCCCCATCATTATTTGAATTTGCAAAGAGCAGCAGTTTTGGGCAGCCGTCGAGGACTTTCCATTCCCTAAATCTGCAGCGGTTATTGGTGGATGTTCTGATGTGTTTTGGGTTATTATTACTTAACGTGGTCTTGCTCAGCTTTAGTTTACTTTTTTTAACAGATGTTTTCACATTTTCCAGATAAAAAAAAGATGTTGATACAAGGTATATTACCATGTGATGGTAAGCTGGCAAGTTCATGTGGCAGCAAGGCATTCCCAAAACTTGACACTTCCATGTTCCACCATTACTCCAAACGTCCAGGAAGTGTTCACATGGAAATAACCTTCGAACCTGTGAAGATTTATTTTTAGAGAGCAAAAGTTTTCTCCTCAAAATGAACCTTATCCCACCATTTTTTTCCCCTGATTGTAAAGGCATACACTTTCACATCAACAGTAGTGAGAAAGAGCCGACTATATCTCCTGTGACAACATGCTGGGATATTTGGGGACTTCATTTAGCATCTTCTGGTCTGCTTTTAGGGTAAACGTTCTTTAACTGCCTTGTATGTTGTCAACAGTTTTGAATGTCCTCAACTGTGGGGACTGTTTTCCAGACAGTAGAGCAGCTGTTTTCAGATTCTCTTGAGACCTTTCTGAATAACTTACCAAATGCATAACATGCTACCTTCTTTTTAATTATTATTATTTCTTTGGAAGGCCTGAGGCAGCTCTTTTGATGCCAAAGTGAATTTCAGAGGTTCACACCTTTGAGATTGCTGAGTAATTACTCTTTCATGTCTGTTTTATGATGTAATATTCCTTGATTGAAACAGCAGTTTTTATTATATTTTTCACAAGAAAAAGGTATTTGATTACATTTAAATTGTTCAGGGGGCTTGGATTTTCCAGGATTGTTAAAGTTGATGTTTATTAGGTTAGAAAAACACAGTTTTTTCATTTTTATGTTTTTTGTGGCATTAAAATATGTCTGTTTTTTGTGTTGAGGTTTGTAGCGAATTCTGTATTTGCTGTGTGCTCCCAAGTGTTTGAAAACAAGGTGATTGATGTTTCTCTTTTGATCCTGTCATATATATATATACTTTTTAGCCAATCTTCCAATCATTTGCAGACTGTCTCATACACTGTAATGCCTGAGACACAGCACATTTGTGTCTAGACAACTATATGTATTACCACAGAGCTAGCTATTAGGCCTCAGGGAAATCTCATAATTTGCAGAATTCTTTCAGAAACAATCCCATAGATGTGCTTTTTTCCCAGTAACTACAGAAGAGTTTTTTGAGGCTGCTTTTAATGACTAAATTTTATGGTTTGAAGGTTAGATTAGGACATCCTTGTGAACACTTTTGTGTTGCTAATGTTGAAATTCGCACAAATCCGTGTTTTCTAACTGGCTTTTGCATCTTCTTGTCGCTGTTAGCATTGCTAGCCCCTTAATCTGTGTCTGTATTGAGAATATAGACTCTTACCTTCTTGGTCAAAATTTACAAATCCAAACACTAGAGACTTGCTCCTCTCTAGTGAGCCTTCCTGTTGTCTGCTTTAAGGTTTGCCTTCTCTTGCGGCTTAAAAGAAGATCGCAAACATGTCTTAAATTTACATAGAAAATTTAGTTTCCTTTCCTTCTACATCTAGTTTGACATCATTTTCCTTCTTCTTGCTTTACTTTTGAATGCCTCACTTATACTGAAAAAGGAAACATACACAAATTATATTATTTCTAGAACAACCATAAGCATAGTGTGTGTCTGAAAAAAAGATTGGATAGCTATTTTTTTTCTGACTGGTTAGCATCTGTAAGCATGTTAAAGACTGACCGATTTCTTTCAACAGCTGATTTCAGTTATTTTCTTTATAGAGAGTATACATTTGTCCCAATTTTTAGAAAAAGTTTCTTTTGCATAAACGTGTTTCTGTTTCAGGACTTCTCTTAGCATCCTGAAAACATCGTGTCTGTGCACGTTGAAACCTGGTTTAGTCTGTTTTACAACGTATCGTCTATTGATTTGGTTGAAAGACAATAGCATCATAGTTTGTCAGGGGTCAAAATGTACATAAAACTTCTGAAAAACTTACTCAAAGCCAGAATTGTAGTCTTAAGTCTTTAAGATGGTCTATTTAAAATAATATATGTAAAGCAGGTGTATCACCAAATTACATCCCACAGTTCTTTTACAAATGTGCATAGTAAGATGTGAAAATTAGATTGTGTTCAGTGTTGAACCACATGTTACCACAGATACTCATTTCCCACTCAGTGTGTCTTGAATCCAAAGAAAATAGTGAGATTACTGAATCATGTTGCTACATGTGTTTTTCAGCTTTATCAAGGGGCTGTAAATGCCAGAAGGCATTTCCTTCACAGACATGGCTTTCTTACATTTTTTAAGATAAGACACTCACTCATTTATGAGTGAGTGCCAGAAGATTGTGGGATTGGGAATCGGTAAGTAACCAGTTTTAGATAATCAAATGATCTTAAAAAGTGTGCTAATTGTTACATCACCCTCTACAATCAAACTGTGCCAATCTTCTGATCAACATTTGAGTCACAACTTTCATTTTGTAAGGTTCTATTTTACGCATTTTGTGAACACGTTATCTTTTGTCAACATGCGGCCGCAGCATCTGTCTAATGCTCTGCTTCCCTTTGTTCCGTTGCAGAGCCGCAACTAAAAGGTATTGTTACTCGCCTGTACAGCCAACATGGTTTCTACCTGCAGATGCAGCCTGACGGCACCTTGGGCAGCACGAAAGACGAAAGCAGCGCATTTTGTAAGTGTGCTAGATTTTCCTGTTTGGTCGTTTGCACCGGTTACAAGAATTAAAAGTGAGCACAGCAAAACAAAATTCAGGTAACTGTCTTCTTGAATGTCGTTGTAATTGAAGAGTGGAACAGCTCATGCTCTCATTTGGAGCCTGCTGCACTGTGTGCACCAAACTAAACATGGCTGCAGCAGCTGCCTGCTTGTGCAACAGGGGCCTCGAGGCTAAAGAGCTTTGGAGAAAGTTTGGATTTTCACAGCTCAACTGACAAATGTGTTGAATTAACAGTTATATCTATATCTTATCTCTCTCTCTATATATATATATATAACTTTGAATGAGAATGAAGCGTCAGGCCAAAAGTGGCTGTCAAACTTTGCCAATTTACTGCTACCTTGCTCTGTAAGGCATGGATTACAGACAATGAATCACACTGGCTCTGGATTTCTCTTGCTGAAAGCTGCTAACAATAAAAGGCAGCGGCATTGTCAGTGCCAAGATTGCGTGAGCACAGATCCTGACCTTTTGCAAAGAAAGTGTGGTTTACAGACCAAAAACTGCACAGCATTCGTCTGACGCCTGCATGACTTTCATGCATTTGCTGACTTCCAGGTCTTACAAGTGGAATCAGGCATATATATATATATATATATATATATATATATATATATATATATATATATATATATATATATATATATATATATATATATATATATATATATATATTATATATATATATATATATATATATATATATATATAGGATGTGTGGTAAGATATTATATATATAAAATGGAAACTCATACTTTTAGTTCAGCTTACTAAAATGATTATGCTAAATCCCAAACTTAATGACAACGTTTCTCTCAATGTCTTCAAATTCTGAAGTTTACTGAGATTCCTTTAGTATTTGGTGGATTTTCCTTTTTAATTGAAAAGCTTAGGTCAAACGTTTTGGTAATTTTGCCCCATTTCTTCTGATGTAGTTGTGTTTGTAGGATGAAGTGCCTAGGAACAATTCTATAAAAGAGAAATAGATTTACTTACTTTATATTTTATGGTAAGATATTACTTGGTTTTGGGTGAAATATCCACTCAATTACTGCTACTTTAACTGTGCGCACTTACTGTGTTGACTGTATTTTTAGTCGCTGCTATTTTAGTTATTCTTCAAGGTTTAGAGGATGTGAAAAGCACAATGAAGGTGACATGGTGTATTGTTTCCATAAACATGAACTCTGAGAGGTCGCAGCATTTGGGCTTCTGAGAGATGCAGCACAGAGCGATGACACTGGAGCCACGCGGCCTTCAATAGTGAACACAGCATGTGTGGCTCCGTGGTACTGCAGGTTGCCTTCATAAACCTCTGACTTTCTCTTTTCCCTTTGTCATGCTCTCTCTCTCTCTTTCTCTCTGGCTCATACTTTATTCCCTAATTTAGCACAGTTCAACTTAATCCCGGTGGGACTGCGGATTGTGGCAATTCAGGGGACAAAAACAGGGTTGTACCTCGCCATGAACAGCGAAGGATACCTCTATACCTCGGTAAGCACAGGCCAGACATTTTAAAGCACAACACAGCACCCAAAAGCATGCAAACATGATGCTAAATCAATAGAAGTACTGTTGTGAGTATGATGCACATTTTTGTCCTCAAGTCTTGATTCATTAGCCATATAATGGAAGCTATAACCAAGCTGAAGTGGTACATAGCATTCATCAAAACATTGTTCCCATCCAAGCAAGAGAGTGAGGTGCAGTCCTCGTTCTCTAATAGATGACAGCTGTTGAAATAAAAGCCAGAGAACTAAAACACTTTCAGTTAAAATGACTGTGATGTTGTGTGTGATCATAATGTCACTCAGCCCAAAATTACTGAGTAAAAATGGAGGATAATGTGAAACAAATGAATGTCAGATGATGCTTTACTGTTCTAAAAAGAAGAAGAAGAAAAAAAACAACTAATGTCAAAAGTATTAGTTTCGGCTCATCATACAGTTCTGGGTACACTGTGTGATTAAACTTCTGGACTGCACAAAAGACAATGTAATGCAAAAAAAACAAAAACAACAACAAAAAAAATCCATCACGCCAACCCAAACATGCTTTATGAAATAAACATGAAGCAGCTGTTTCATGGATGTTTCAGATTTCATTATAACCTTGGGGAGCGTTTGCGTCACAATTGGCAACAGCACGCATTCTGCCAACTTCTTACATTACAATCACAAACTCCCTGCATTTTGTTATTATTTTCAGACACACCAACACAAAGCGGAGCGCAACTGTGAAGTAAAAGGGAAACGATGGGACCCTTTAAATTAGGGTTGTCAACGTTGACACGTTAATCCGTTAGCGCATGCGATTGGTCTGGAACAACTGGGACATATTTGACTAAACAGCTCTTTGTTTCAAAATGCGCAACAATACAGATTCCCAAACCCGTGTGAAAAGATGAGCAAGGAGAGTGGTGGCAAATTTCGCTTTAAAAGACATCCTGATGGAAATTTGAATAAGACCAATGCAATATGTACATGTAAAATAAAGTGACTTCTTTTAACCTTCCTGAATACAAAACCTTGGAAAACTGGAAATTTGATTTGAGACAGTAAAGCATTTTTTGAAAACGTGCATACACATTTCAAGCTTACAAAATTAAGCACAGTGATTAATTGTGATTAGTTATTCTATTTCCAGAGTGACACATAAAACTAATTTGAGAACCTCTTTCATTAAATGATTGATATCAAATAAATAATAAGAAGAAATGCCACTGGTAGAGACTTTAGTGGCAGAGTTCCAAAATGATGTTTGCACAAGTAAGCTATACATGACCAAGCTTAAGGGGGAGAATATCTTCAAGTTAATTAATTCTGATTATTTCCACCCTTAAATTTTACAAGCATAAATCCGTTGTGTAAAAACAAAGACACCTAGTGTACATCGAGGTATGTGTGTGTGTGCGTGTGTGTTTGAGGTACAGTGAATTGTGAATTATGAGACCGACCACACTGCCTTCCCTTATCTTGTGACGAGCTGCTTAGCATGGACAGGCTGTGGCGGCTTGCTCCTGTGAACCCACAGGAACAGGGATTTCCTCAGAAACAATCAGTAGTTAAACTGCGTCCTGCACTGACCTTTTACAAAGAAATTCCTCCTGTGCACAGTCGCACTGCTGAGTTTATAGGCGTGGCACCGCAAAAAGCGCACACTTCGTGCACATTTTTAAATGTTTCATTTCATGGAGCCATATTTCTCTCAGTGTTTTCAGTGACAAGTAGAGGCAGTAACTGTTTTTATCTATTTTTTATTTGACATTTATTTGCACACAAGGACACCTGACAACATATTTTTTTCTCAGTATAACTAATCATAAGTAATTTTTTTTAAAACTTTTTGCTCGTTCATGCCCATTGCTCACATATTTATTGGCCAAAGATGTCCGCCTTGAACAAGCAGAAGAAATCAATCAATAGTACTCCATATACTGATACACTGCGCATGGGGGGAGGGGAGGAATAAATGAAGAGGGGACATTGAAGGTAAAGACGCTTTTGAAATTGCATCTGCTAGATGTGGTAACATAGACAGAGACACGTGCATGCATAGGCAGGTAATGGAGACACCAAACCAGTTTCGAACAGAAAGCTTAAAGAAGTCCTAGCAAAATGTGAACTGAAAAAGTAAAAAAAATAAATAAATAAATAAAAAAGAACTGAGATGTCAAAATAACGACGACTAGAATGGAAACAGAAAGCTGTGGAAAATCCTTGCAGAGAGACTAAAAGATGTCCTTAATGAAGGGTAGTGTTATTCATTTGTCAGTGACTCAGTAATACATCATCAGTGCCTCAACATTAGTTTTCATACCGAATCATTTAAACCTTTAGAATATAATTAATTTGAACTAAAAATCTACTTTGCTCACATTTTTTGTCTTTTCTTTGCACACATGATCTATGAAGAAGGGCTCCTTGCAACTTGTAAACTGATTCCTAGATCTGGAGGATTTCGACTACCTTGCTGCTATGTTTGTTTTGTCTGGGTTGCAGTCTTCATGCTTTCCATTTTGGGTGATGTATTTTTAGCCCTTTGTTTTACTCAGTCATGTATTTTCTTTTCTAGAAATTACCTTATTCTACACAGATGTTTCTTATTATTAATTGTGGGTTTTTCTTTGCTGACTCGTGCGCTTGGCTCAGTTTTGTTGTTGCACTCGAACTTTGAGTCATGCAGATTATGGCTTTTAGCAAACAAAGTCATACACTCTGCCCACAATGAGTTCACAGTTCTGCTGTTGTGCATATGCATCTAACCATGCAATAAAGTCAATATGTAAAATTGTTGAGGTGAATATTATAAAAGGCAAATAGGATAGCCATAAAGAAAAGAGAGAAGCTTTAAAGAAAAGAGAGAAGCTTTGGAATTCAGAGAAAAGTGAGTCCATTGACTTGACAGATGTTGCAAAGCTCATTGAAAAGCTCTTCTTCATTGGGAGAACACCACAAATTGATGCTGAAAGGTCATAGGGTAGATTAAACAAACATAGCTGACTGGGAAATTGCAATGGCGATAGTTTGTAGAAAGACATCTCCCACATCCACCAAACCTTCCGGTCCGCAAAGCCAACAACTTCTGTCAGCCCAATTTTACATCGGAGCGATGTCGACATTCTTCCATTCAGACCCGATCGCTCTTTACACGCCACACACTGAAAGTCATATCTCATAAGATTATCTCAAACCACATCCTGATAATTGGTGTCCTTAAGATTCTTGCAAAAATCTGCATAAAAATCTTGCCGCGTGAACGAGGCGTAACAAAGATTTAACAACACAAAGCAGAAGTACTGAAGAAGCACCCAACATTATTTTAAAATCATTTGTGTGTAGCAGAGTGACACACGAAATACAAACAATTTGGAAATAGTCTTAGGATCCTGTAACTGCTGAACCACAAGCTGCTGATCACGCTAATAAGCTAGTATCAACTTCAGAGATTGTACATTTTATAAAGATCGAATCTGGAATCTCCCACAAGGGAGAAATAAGGAACTGTGGTCCTGTGCAGCAGCAATCAAAGACAGTCAAAGCATAATCCACATGTCAACACAATTTTCACACTTAATAAAAATCAAACATATCAACAAGGAATAAAAGCGTTAAAAAATTTCTAAAATGTGCCAAGCAATGAGTAAGAGCTGTAATTCCACTTAGGACAAAATAATATTTGTACAGATTGTTCCCTATAGTTGGCAACTTGCACCTTAAACTGAAGTGAAAGAGAACAAATTCCTCTAAAAGTCAATGTTCTCTGCTGCTTAGGAACGGTTTTAGGGTTGTTTTTTTTTTTTTTTTAAAGGCAGTTTATAGATGATAAACTCTTCTAGCCCAGATTCACTATTGAGGTTAATTTCTGCCCTCCAACCAACTCAAAATGAAGCATTTATATTTTGAGTGCCAGCTGTACAAATCTCATGTCTATGGGGAGAAAAAATATTTCGCTATATGACCATACTGAACTGCTTTCATTGTATCGGAGGAAGATAAGAGACCAAAACAAATGGTGTTTTTTGCGCTTGAGAAACGCCGTGTTGCAAGCAGAGGAAGAAAATTGGAAATATGAAAAGAAATGAAGTAAAAGGGTATAAGAGGGACAGATGTCCTTTCTTTGACTCCCAATGTCTATTCGCTTTTGTAACAAAAGAGGAGAAAATGTGAGCAGGAAAAATAATGTATAGGTCGATCTGTGATTAGAACAAGAGAACAAATGTAAATTGAGATCTCTTTAGAGTAAGGAAAACATCATGAGGGACACCCTATATATAAAAGTAGACCTAAGGGATTGCAAGACTTAATCTTTATGGTACATTCATAATCTTTTTTTGCATTAACTTCCACAATTGCTCAGGGCTACATTGGAAAGTGGTGCATGCAATTTGCTGAGACGCGAAATAGCTAATTGTCCAAAAATAGACAGGATTCTCTGAAGTTTCAGAAAACTTAAAGCTGAGGAGCTTTTTATTTTTTATTTTTTCGGTAAGGAGTAACATCAGTCATTGTCAGCTCTGAACAGAAGTGTATCGACAGGGATCTTCATCTAGCAATCTGCAAAGCTGAGCAATAAGTCTCTGCACATTATCATCCACTCGGCTCATGTCTTGAGAGTACAATTTGTTTTACGGAGCGCCAGGGACCAGAGCAAACATGCGCAGACGGTACTAACTCCCCAGTTTCATCTTCTACAAAGTCCTCAGAATAAGCACATCTCAGCCCCACTGACTTATGTAAGGTGGTGTGTTATTGTGCGTCTTCATGTGGCTCAGCGGCAACATCGTCGTCAACATGCCCTTCTCGTGGCGTCCCTCTCTGCCCGTGTGTCTGCATTATAGGGGAGTGGGAGGTTGTTCCCAACAAGCTTTACATGAACGAAAGAGCTCGCCGCAGTGGAAACGAGACGGCTTGGTGCAGCTGGGCAGATTTCACAGCAGCTCCCAGATTACTTGAGGAGCTGACGGGACGGTCAAACACACACAGAAAGCCTGTGACCCCTGCTGTCTGCACAGGGGACTGCAAATAACTGCTCATCACGAAAGCAGAAGCAGGACCCTTTGAATTGGAGAAGCAGGAGTTGGAATTTTCAGGGTGCATTTACATTGATTTCACCCTTGCGTGTGCATGGTGAAGTAAAAGTAAAAAAGATGTAGAACATCGACGACACGGGACACACTCCTGTTTGTTTATTATGCACTAATTAGATGTTAGATTTTGGGGAAATGTGCCCTGTCCTTCTCTGCGAACAGACGCCTTGTTGGTAACTACACTTTCCATTGTACGGCGGCAAAGCTTTCCGAAGCAGAATAGATGTAATCAGACACAAGGGATGAAAAGGGAGGTGGCGTGTGTGGGCGGAGGGGGGTCGGGACGATACTCCGCATCACAAAAAGGTTCTTCCCGTCTTAGGGATTCTCAGCACGGACAACAGATATTACCTTTCCCATTTGCTGTCATTCAAGTTCATTTTTAGCTTCAGGCATACAGGAGGAAATACAGTGGGTTACCTGAGTCACTTTGAAGACAGAGGTATTTGATTAATTTCTATTCCAAGCAGCCAGAATTCACATTAATTTATTCCTTCATCCCTCATCTGTAAAAAGTGCAACTCTTAACAAAATGTCAGCGGGAATTCATCTGAGCCAGTTTGAGGGATATCCTCATCGTGTGCTTTTAAGGACAATTATTCTGCTGGCTATGGGTAATTGAATGCGATACTTAGGAAAGCGGGTAAAAGAACAGTGCAGTAAGATTGCGTTGTGTGCTTTCAGGTCGTGCAGGAAGATAAGTTGAAGAATTTGACCAAAACAAGTTAGGGACGCAAGATATCGATTCACGAGTTAACCTAATGTTGATTGACCTTATGGATCAACTAACGATTAACAGATAAGCTGCTATTTTTTTTAACAAACCAAAAAAAAAAACCTGAATTTTCTCTTGTACGAAGAGGGTCAACAGTTTTCACCAAAAAAGTTGTTTTTTTACTGCCTTACAATTGTCTTAACTTGGTCTTTGAGTGAGAATCGGGAGTACAGCTTCATGACATCACAAGCCAACACATAGACACACAGGACAACCAAACCTAACTCCATTTAGTCTACAAATATTTCACAAAGTTGTGACAAAATTAGTTCACTTACAAATTTAAAAGGTGTAAGATGTACATAACTTTTCAAACTGAATTCACTCTATTCTATTCTTTCAGTGAAATGATTGTAGAGCATTACACCATGGTATCTTGGGAGAGCTGATCTAACCATAATTTCTTTTTTTTTAAATAGGTTGTGCTTAAAAAGTGTCTTTCTGCCACAGATCCACATAAGTGTTGGATCCAGGGCCCCTGAGGACATCATTGCACCAGCACTTCAGCTCTCAGCTCCCAGCGTAGAAGCAGATCCCTCTTTACTTTGATTCACTTCCTTATCCAGAAACACCATTCAGTCCCCTCTGAGTGATCTTCTGCTCTCCTTCCTGTTTCTCCTACCTTTCCCCTCTGGCTCCTGCGCTTCCTAATCCTCTTTCTCGCTCTGGCCTGATTAATAATGAATGAAGCGGATCATCTATCGATCCCATCCTCTGTGTTAGCGCAGCAGAAGATATCAAACCTGTCAGGGGATCTTAATATAGCTCTTCCATGTGAGGGCAATGATGGCATTTGTTGGGTTAAGGGTAGTTTTTTTTTTATTTATCTTTTCCCTTCAGTGAAAGGAAAGTTGTGAAATAACGGGAGACCTAAAGAAAAGGGATGCTTCCTTTTTGAAGGAGAAAGGGATGATCCGTGATAAGTGTGAAACTGGCATCTTGCTCTCCTTCCGGCTCTTTATTAAAGCTCGTCTGTAGCAAGCTGCGAGCCTCCAGGCCTCCCGTGTTGTCCCGACTCTCCGAGAAACTCTGTACTCAGCCATTTCTGCCCTGCTGCTCTTACTTAATCAATCCAGCAGATTGGCTGTGCTCCCTGACAGAGGAAGGACCCTGTCCAGACCCTGATGGAGGCTAAAAGAGATGTATGTCTGTCTCTGTTGGTTAATATCACCGGTCAACATTATGCAGGGTTCAGTGGCCGTTATGTTGATCAGTTACTGTGACTGGATTTGGTCCAAGTTCTGCTAACTTGATTTTATTCTGCCTCTTTACATTTGGCCAGTAAGGCAAAACGAAAAAAAAAAAACTGACAGAACCCAAGAGGGTTTTCTATTAATTCTCTTTTGGGTGACTAGAAAATGATGGATTTTAGCTGCGTGAAGTTGGACTGTGCATTGAGGTGGTGCGATCCAAAAACGTAAAGGGTATTCTAAAACGGTCATGAGTGTGGCCGCGCGTGCAGCGAGTCAGCCATGGAAAATGCCTCTTGCCCAACAGCAGCTTCCTTCCGACACATCTGTGCTCCCCACGATGGATTAGATATATGGTGAATGGACTAAAATTTGTTTCTGAATACCGACGAAAATGCAGCTGCTCACAGTCATTTTAATTTGAACCAAAGTCCAAAATCACAAGCCACTAGGCTATGTTTTAAACCAACCTGCCAAGTGTTTTAATTTCAGCCATTTACATCAACATTTACTGTTCTGGCGTCAGTCCAAAGCTGCTTAAAAAGGGACAATCCAAGCCAAGACCAATCTAGGATACAGCTTGGCATATGATTCATGGATAATCTTAATCAGCTAATTGAATTGGCAACAACTTTTTATAACCAAATGATTATGTCAAAATATGTAAATCACGATTGTAAGGAAACGTACTTCCAGCTTCAACTGTTTACTTCGTTTTCTTTTTCATGACTCATTGAAAGGATGTCAATATGATGAAAACTTTGTATCGGGAATGATTATTCATTTCAGCCTTATACATTAATATTTTCTACTTTGTGCCTCACGTGTATTCTGTCCAAGGCGAAAAGTTCAACTTAATCAGGTTTTGTTCAACCTGAGTAAAAAATGCACTGAAGACCATTTGTGGTACCTAAAGATGTGAAGGTGGAACCAAACTTTAATGTGGACCAAAACAAAAAATGCTGGTCTGCCTTAAAATGGCACATAAACTGTAGCCGCAGCCTAAAATACCTCACCAGCAGCTTGTATGGAAAGCCAAACTTGCCATCATTCAATAAATCAAGAAATGTCCAAAAACTTGGATTTGTGGACATTTTAAATTAAACTGGAGATGCATGTGTCAAAAAAAAAAAAAATCGATCTCTATTTTAATAAACGACTACTTTAACTTATTTGGATTTTTTACTTTTTTATTAACAGTCAGCTTCAGCCTCAGGAATAAGTTAAGCTGGGTTTATTTGAATGAAAATGTGGTGATAGCTACCTACTGCAGATCACATATTAATGTCATGTATTGTTCCAACAGAACTTAAATTTAAAAAGTCTAGCTCTGACCAAAAAATGTTAACAAAATGCTCTTTAACCTTGACACGACTACAGCTGTAGCAAAAAAACAACAAAAAAACAGCTTTAATTTAGATTTGTATGCAGTGTGTTAATCACAAAGACACCAATTGCTTCCATTTCTTTAATTAAATCCACAAGCCATCCCAAAAAATGGTTTTTAGACTTACAGAATTTGGCAAACACAAAATAGCATTCTATCACCAACAGGATGTTTCCAAAGAACCATTAGCTGAAAACTTGGCACACAGAAGATGATTATCTCTCAGATTCTGCATCAACTTTCTGCTGGGCTACAGCCTACTTATAAAGACATAACTTTTAAGACCAGATTTATCTGCTGTAGATTGTTTTTCTGAAGCTCTTTTTTTTTTTTTTTTTTTTGCATTTGTCTGTTTCCCCCTTTTCCATGTTCCTGCTTCTAAAAGCACACACTGATCAAATAAGTGAACAGAAATTAAAATGAGATTGGGAAGGAAGCAAAGTTTATGGGGTTTGTTAACTATTGTAATATGTGCGGTTGAAACAAGGCCAAAGTGAAAACAGAAGCTCAAAATGAGCGTAATCGCAATGTTTTCATGATAAAATGGAAAACTAACCAGACCAAGACACGCAGGCAGGTAGAGTACAGTCAGACAAGATGAATCTCACTTCTTAAAAGTTTCCATTGGGTATTTTTTTGCTGTATGTGAGAAGTGTGTATGATTTTTACATTTTGTTCGAGAAGGTAAACAGGTAGACCAACGGAAGATGAATAATTAACACCAAGCAGCTGAACTGAGACTCAAAGAAACTACGAAGCAAGTTGAAAAGAACAATGCCACTGTACAAGAACTCAATGCTCGTGCATGAAGAACAAATACAATTCAAAGAGAACATCCGGATTCCTTATGATCTATCCACACAATTTTCCTTCCTTCTGCTTTTTTTCAAGGAACACTTCACTCCAGAGTGTAAGTTCAAGGAGAGCGTGTTTGAGAACTACTACGTTACGTACTCGTCCATGCTCTACCGCCAGACCCAGTCCGGACGCTCCTGGTATATCGGCATTAACAGGGACGGCCACATCATGAAGGGCAATCGGGTGAAGAAGACCAAGGCGGCCGCACATTTCTTACCGAAAGTCATAGAAGGTTTGTGTCTTGGATGTTTTCGTTTTTCGTATTCGTTTTTAACACACATTACTATTTCTTAACACAGTCGCAATGTACAAGGAGCCGTCGCTGCACGAGCTCGCCAGCGAACCGGTGAGTCCTCCTCGGAAGACGGCGAAGACGTCGGACTCGCCGACGCTCAAGAATGGACGGAAAGAGTCTCCCCAAGCGGACGCCTCATAGCACAGGAGATTGAGGGTGGGACAAAAGGGCAGAAGTGACACTGGGAACTCAGTTGCCCAAAATGCACTGAGCGTGGCTGAAGAAACAGCACCTGCCGGCCACCGTGACCCAGAATTGCGCTTCCAGATGCTGAGAGTTAAAGAGCCAGGAGAAGGCCTGAGAGAGAGGAGTCCCCGCCCTCACCTGAAGCCACAGAAAGAAAGCCCTGGGTTTGTAACAACCCATCCAACTTCCTCATATACGTCTCTCTCTCTTTCACTATGTCTCCTGTGACGTCATAATTCACATGTCCTTTTATTTTCCTGCCAGACTCAAGCTTCTTTTTCTATTCGCTCTGTTGTACTCAATGTTCTGCCCTATCAAATTTCCCTCCTGACTCAGCGTCATAATCCTAACCCATGGGGAGCTCCTTTTGAGCCTCAAAGTTGGTGACAACGTGGTTCTGCCTCACCCGACCTCTCCACCCACCATCTGCCCACCAGCTAAAGTAATAACCAGGGTCCTCTAAAGCTTAAATCGAGATGAAACGGATCAGAGGGGAAAGCAATCAGCAGGAAGCCTGAGTCAGGTCATACCAGCACGCCAACATGAGGAAAGCAAGTTTATCACATCAAAAACTAAAACCTGTTGTCAAAGGTTTTTTTTTTTTGTTCTTTTTTTTTTCTTGTTGTTCCTGTCTATCTTACAAAAAGTCAAACTGATGATGACTTCAGCCTGTCAAATGCAAGAAAGATGATAAAATTGTTAAAAGAAAAAAGGTGCTATAACAATCCCAGTCAGACAGAACTAAAAAAAAAAAAAAAACAATGCAAACAAAATAAAGCAAAAACTAAAAACATGACAAAACGCTAAACAATTTGATTAACATTTCTCAAGGGAATCGTTAAAAAAAAAAAAATTACATTCAGAGAAATTATAAAAACTCACAACGGAGCGATGGTGTGATCACTACCACACCATCGCTAATTATCACGCGCGCTCATCAAAGACAACAAACGAGCAGCCGGGACGCAAAGCTAAACCCGGGGCGGATCTGAGTTCAGACGCATGGAAAAAGGTGCAGTAATGTATACTTCAGTCAGCATCTGCTGTCAGCATAAAACCAGGTTTGAAGCCCAACATCAAAGCCACGCAGGCTATGAGTCGGAGCACTTGTTATTCCGAGGACGTCTGGCAGCTTATCCACTCACTCGCTTTATCAAATCACCTTGGAAGAATTGCCCTCCAAAAAAAAAAGAAAGGGGAAAAAAATGAAGTTGTCTGAGTGAATGTCCTGGTGTGACAGTGTTTTAACCCCAGCGAGTGGATGTGTATAGACGGACAGTAAGAGTGAATGAGAGCCTGTGAAGGGGGACAGATGTGGGTAGCATCCTCTGTGTCCTTCACACTGAGCTCAGCGTCGTGTCTTCGATACGTCGGCTCCTGTGAGTAAGTGATACTTCATCTGCCTTGGGAACCATTCGAAGTGACTCTTGTCCGGCGCACGATTTAAAATAGCATTGTTTCAGGGCCGCCTCAGTGCATCAGACTGAGAATGTATTTTGTTCAATTGAGTAACTTTTATTTTATTTTTTTGGGGGGGAGGGTGTAAAATAGAAACTCAAGGCTATAAAAGCAGTCATCAGCGTATGTGTTTATCGGCACAATATCCACGCAAAACCTTGTTTTGCCAGGAAAATAGTGACTGGAAAGTGCAGAGAACAAACAAGAAAAGATGCTCATTATGTGTCTAAGGTGGTAAATTAATGTGAGGAAGGGTTACAGAATGTGACAAAGAAGACTTATGGATGTACACTACAGAGCGTGAAGGCAAGTCTGGAATAAAAGAGTGAAACTGCAAAAGATGTACTGGTGGTTAGTTGGGAAGCCTGAAGGATTAGCAGGTGTTTTCTTGGGGAATGTCGATAAGGAAGTTATGCTGCAGAGGAAGCAGGAGAGTATGTGACTTGCAGCATGTAGATATGACAACGAACGTGAGACAAAGAGGCATTGCATGCGGTTTATGATATGGAGCGTAGTTGGAGAGAATTAGTTGAAGGGCTTCACTCAACCCTCCCCGCTTTGCTAAGTCTGTGCATTTTTAGGAGTGTTTGCAAGAAAACAGTCCCTCGCGTAGCATTGGGATATTTTATCCATGTGGCAAATACAGCAGCACAGACCTTCAAATCTCTAATTTTGAACACAACTCCCTCTCCGTGGGGATTTTAGCATACTCAAACTGAGTTCTAGCTGTGCATCACCAACCAGTGTATAATATCAAAGTGCTCGCACAGCGGTTAGCTCACAGTTGTATATTTCTAAGATGCCCATAAGCTGAAGATATCAAAGTATTTGGAGGCACAAAGCAGTGACATCAAAAGATTCTTTTAGAGGCAAAATTTTACTCTTCCTGCATACAGAATCACTACAATGATAACAATGATAACAATTTTAATGACTCCACAGACTACACGGTTATAAAACTCCTATTTAAAATGTATTGCCTAACGCAAAAGAACTTGCATGCTCTTCGGATATTTGTAACACCTAGGATCGGTCACACTGAGGACAAAAGACACAAAAACTGCAATGTTGATGGTGAAATCACAAAGTTTCTTCTTTTTTTTGAACTGGCACACCATCACCACCTGTTGGGAAGAAATGAAAGTGAAGGGAGTCGAATGGTGCAGCTGACCCTAAAAATGAGGCAAACAGGTATGCGAACACGCCTTTAAGGTGGTGACGGCTTAGACGTGCAATTGCTGGGAAGCCTGCCAAGCCCTACAGCACAGCGAGTCCTTAACTGTGCAAGAGTGAAGAATGCTGCAGTAAGTTGTTTGTTGGTGATTTTGTAAGTAGACAGACGGCAACAAAGAATGTCAGGATGATGAAAAGAAACCGAAGATAAGAGAGAGAAAGTTCATCAGAAGGGAAAAGGTTGAAAGTTTTTAGATGGGATGGTTTTGTAGGTGAGAAGAGAGAAAAAACTGTTGGAGTATTAAGATGACATTTTTGGTCTGATGAGGTCTGACAGCGAAAATACATTAACTGGACAAAAACAAACAGTGAGGTGTTAACAAGGAAAACAAAAACACTTTAGTTTATATGCCCACACATGAGCTTTTCATCTCCTGAACAGCAGCATCTACACCCCATTAACTCTCTCTTCAACATTATGTTGCCTGTGTAGGCGTATACTTACAGCTTCTTTATAAAGCTCTGTGTGGTTGTGTGGTTGCGTGTTTGCGTGCGTCAATGAGTAATGGGAGGACGAAGCAAAAAGAAAGGGGGCATAAGAGTGAGATAGTCATCAAGAGATTGAATAAAGCAAGAAATGAATAAACTCCGACTCAAAAAGCAGCAAAAACATTTAATCAAAAGTGAGTTTCTTTGTTTGCAAATAAAAAAAAAAGTGTTTAAAGATTTAAAAACAGGAGCACGTTGCACCTTAAAGGAAATGGGAATTATTTAGGATATCTGACAGACTCCTTAAAACATTTTGACTTCATCACCATACAACGGGACTAACAGGTAATAATGAATACTACGCGGCATAGATTCAGCAGAGAACCCAAAACTATATTGCACTGAACAACCAAAATCCAGGGAACCTTTTTAAAAGACAGCCAGGTCTTTGATTTGAAGTCCATCGTAAACAATCATGCCGACGCTCCGATCACACGACGTTGCGTCAGAATACCGCGGTGCTTTTGGTGCACTGACTGAAACCGGTGTGAGCTATGCACGTTTTTGATTTCAAGCACTGATAAAAAAAGACTGTTAATGTTCTCAAGGATCTTTTGGGTGAGTTGTTCAAAGCTCATGAGAAGCCATTGTACCCGTCTGTACCGCGGGCACTCGCGATTAAAAAGCAGCTCATCTCTGTGGACACATGGTCCAATAGTCACTTTCATTAGACTTTTGCAAGAACTTCTGTCACAAGCAGTTCAATAAATGTATATGCGACTATAGCTCCCTCTAATGGCCTAATTATGAATGGACGGGTTCGTATCTTTTGCTGCATTGAGAAATGCCTGTCATCGAAATTACACACAATCAGAGCAAATTCGACAGTGTAACATCATGGCATTTGAATAAAAAAAAAGTCATGTTGAATTTAAGTCTGTCCTATAAAGCTAAAGCCACTTGATTTCGCCCTAAAATGTCACTAATGTTACGAACAGCAGTTATTTACTGAAATTTAGGAGAAAACTTTGTGCAAGAAAGAAATGAAAGATAATGTGGAGAAATGCGCAGCAAAATGACATCATTATATGGTTACAAAAATGTTTAGAGGGCAGATTAAGCCAATTAAATGACCTGAATGTCAAAGAGATAATCAGTCCTGACACATTGTCACAGGTGGTATAATTGGCAATTTTTAATATTCAAAGTTATAAATGAGACTTTGCTGCAGGTTTGCTTTTGATTATTCTGGTAAGTGTACTTAGGAATTTTCAAAATGTGGGGCATCTCAGTTTGAGATAAAAAAAAAAAAAAGCGTGCTTCTGGGTAACAACATCTGTCCTAATGTGTAAAATGGATGGACTGCTTCTTGTTCAGTTAATAATACAGTGTTTGTATATCTGGTGTACTTTTTCTCTGTCTTTTTTTTTAATTCCCCGAAACGAGCTTATCCGTGTTGTCATTTCTGTTAAAAGGTTGTTGTTTTTTTTTATTTGTTTGCCTTTGGTAATGCAAATCTCTCAGCGAAAGGCAGAAAAGCTGCTCCTGTTCGGTGCGTTTTTATCATTTATAATCATGTTTAATGTGTTCGGTCAGCACTGTTGTATCCACAATTGTATGAAATCCTGAGTGAAAACAAATCCAAAGCGAATCCCGCCACGTCGGTAAGCTGTGTGTTAAATGAGTGATGCATTGTTGTGGGGCCAGTGCTTTGCCTCACTGTGGGTATTTGCCCTAACGGCCCCCTTCCCTCACCACCCCCCAAGCCTCTTTGCTCTTAGAGACGTTTGACTTCTCTCCCGCTCTCTCAGACCAATTGTGTTGTCTTCCAAAAACACTAACTCCTACTTTTTTATTGAACAAACCAACAAAGAAAGCCATGACATTTTTTTTTGTTCCTTTTTAAAAGGCCTTGGCTGTGGTTAGAGAGCAGGACAGACTTCCAAGACGCTTCATGAGTGTAACCAGGGATTAAGCCACATGTTGGACCGCTCTCGCCAAGAGCCCAAAGACACACCAACGGTCCTCATGTACCGGCTTTCTTGAACACTCTTCAGTGAAAGAGAAGCAAAAACCGAAGACCAGCAATATGCAACAAGAACTACCAGCCTGCACTCAAGGAGATCAAGCAAACCCATAAGGATATCTAACAATTTTCCAGACTCTTTTATCTTTTTTTTTTTTTAAAGCATGCATACTTTGGCTCTTTAAGGATGACTCCCTCTCAGTATCTACAGAGACAAGCCCTCGATTCACCCTCTCTCCACTTTGACCTGTGTACATTTCTACAACCGCTACATGAATTAAAGGGAAATGTCTTATTCTGATATATTAATCAATAAATTAACATATATTTGTATGATTGTAACTTTTTGTGATCATTTTTCATCTTATTTTTGGGGGCTTTCCTAACATTTTATGAGTTTTCCCTGCAGCTGAAGAAATAAAAAAGATCATTTAAGAGTCTAAAACTTCCAATGGAAAGAAAAGGGAGATATAGCTTTAACACTGGTGGTAGGCAGGTGAAACACTTTGCATCATAGAGCAGTTGATTTGCAATGGATGCATTATTGTAATTTTCAAAAAGTTACAAATATGGTACAAATTCTGCTTCTTTTCAGAGTAATACAGAAGTAGCAAAACTGGTTCTAAAATGCTTAAGTACTGCAGTAGAAGGTTAGGCAACATTAAATGGACACAGAAACAGAAATATTTATACAGTTTTGCTCTTAAGAGTGACTGATGCATTAGAGTGCT